TGGCTTTTGTCTTTTTTCCGTGTCCGGCAACGGATCGCAACCCTCAGTGTTGCCCCCGTACCGGACCGGGGACCGGCAACGGGATCGCAAGCCTCGGTGTTGCTCCCGCGCCTCGCTCAGCCAGTGAGCGGGAACCGGTCTGTATGTGGGATCCGAACCCTCGGACGGGAGCGCCGCCGCGCTTCCCAAGTGGCGCACTATCCAGTGCGCCACCGGGCCGGCCCATTCATTTCTCACTTTTATAGATCTCAGTTCTCCCTTCTTCCAGTCCTTCCTTTTGGATCCTTATTGTCTTCTTATTAATCAATAATAATGATAATGATAACTATTATCTGCATAGTACTTTATAGTTGACAATACATTTTCACACCCATTACCCTCATGAAAACCTATAACGCTGGTATTATTGTCTCTGCTTTTTTTCAGATGAGAAAACAAAGACTTAGAAAGGGTAATCACAGTAGCCTGCCCAAATACACCCAGATAATAATTGCTGGATAATGCTGGCTTTTAGTATTTATTTTTATTTAGATGACGAAGCTACTTTCAGTCTTTTCTGGAATAAGTAAGGGTTTGAATAAGTAGCTAAGCCAGAGATAGGAGTCAAACTGAAGTTTCTTTCTCCAATCCAGTGTTCTTTCTTGCTACACCACACTGCCTATATTCTGTTCAATTTGTGGGGAGGGAGGGATAAGGAGGCTCACCAATTCCTCTTTCATTACCAACAAAGAAAAGACTATGCTTCCCCCAACCTGACTGGGCCCTGGTGACGTAGGCATTTTTCCTTTTTCAGAAGCCAGATGGCGGGCTGGTGGTGCTGAGTGGAGGGGGTACCTCTGGCCGAATGGCATTCCTTATGTCGGTGAGCACCCTGATCCTAGTTTTCCTCCCTTCCTCCTCTGAGGGTGACTCTCAGGACCATAAAACTCATAATAGCTAAGCTCCCTGGTGGACGTCTCACTATACCTGGGCTCTAGGCCTGCAAAAGCTAGATCTCACCAGGAAGTCCCATTTGTTCTGAGCCCATCTGAGCCCCACCAGTCTATTGCCAATGTCTCTACATCTCATGAACCCCCAATAATCATCTACAAGTTGCATCTTTAAGTGCCAGATTCCACGTAGGGCTGGGTTAAGCACTGGCCTAAGAGAATCATTGTACAGCTTCTGCCCTCTAGGGGTTGGAAATCCAAGATAATTCTTCCTCCATTGTGATTACTTCTTCAAATCCTCTCCCCTTCAACACGTTTCCTTTAACCAGCTGATGAAAGGTTTAGGACAGAAACCTCTTTACACCTACCTCATTCCAGGAGGTGACAAGTAAGTCAAACTGGCTTATGAGTATTTTGTTTGGCCTGAATAGTGTTTTTTAGAAATTGAATTTGAATGCCTTTAGGCAGAGATTGTGTCCAGTTTGCTTTGGTCCCTACCATTCCTTATTGCCTTCCACTTGGCCCACTTCACATACTTATGTTGCCTGACTAAGTTTGGCAGGTATTTGGCTTTTTCAACTCTGGAGTGTCTATCATGGTGCCAATCAAACAGTGGGTGCTCGTTCAAGGATAGTTTTCTGTTCATTCCTTTCTCTCAATGTAGCCTGCCCTAATAAACCATAGCTTTCTGCTTCCCAATCACTGCCATTTACCTTGAGTCTGTCCTCTTAGGTGTGTGGTGGCCTCTAGGGAGGGGACAGAAGACAGTGCCTTGCATGGGATTGAGGAACTGAAGAAGGTCTGTGCATTCTACTGACATTCAACAAGAGACATCTGTCTATTCCTTCTCATGGGGATATAAAAGCCCGAACATTCAGCCAAAGCCTATTTCCTTTCCTGGCCCTGGCCCTGATCTCTCACGCAATAGGTTTGTACCCTAGAGTCTTCCCAGTTGCACTACCTTGCCCATCCACCTCTCCTAGGTGACTGCTGGGAAGAAGAGAGTGATCGTCATTGGCATTTCAGTGGGACTTTCTGTGAGTGTGAAGACAGATCGAGTGGACCAATTTTACAGGGAGGAAGGGGATGGGAATGGAAAAGCATGGAAGATAGATTGATGAGGTGGGTGCTAGGAAACAAAGTTTACACAAGAAATCTTGATTTTAGTTTCACTAATTTGGATCCAGTTCTATGAATGTGGGAAGGGATCTTAGAATAACTATGTATCAATCCATAACAGCCAAGGGCTGGCCACATAGCTCAGTTGGTTAGACCGTGGTGTTATAACACCAAGGTCAAGGGTTCAGATCCCTGTACCTGCCAGCCACCAAAAAAACCAAAAAACAACCAAGATAGACAGACTAGTCTCAGGGTCAGCTGACTACACTAGCAGGCCAATCCAGCCAGCTGCCTGTCTTCTAAATAAGTTTTATTGGAACACAGCCATTCGTGTTTACATGTGGTCTATGTCCTCTTTCATGCTACAACCATAGGGTTGAGTAGTTTGATGGAGATCATAGGGTCCACATAGTCTAAAATATTTACTCTCTGGCCCGTTACAGAAAAATCTGTCACCTGGACTAGTGCCTTACTAATTAGCATGGTCCCTGCACCAGCAACATCAGTGTCACCTGGGAGTTGTTAGAAATGCAGAATCTTTGGCCCCACCCCAGACCAACTGAGTCCAAATCTGCGTTTTAATAAGATTCCCAAGTAGTCTGTTTGAGATGCACTGGGCTAGATGACCCCAAGTTTCTTCTCAACTCTGCAGCTCTCTGATTCTAAGAATTCACTGAGCAGAAACGAGATCCCAGCAGTGTTAGATGTGGATGGATATTGACTTCAGGGAGTTTACAATTTAGTTCAATAGTTTTCAGACTTTACTGTGCAGAAGATTTCCTTGGGGAACTTTTAAAAAATGTAGTGCCCTTGGGATACTTGTTAAGAATGTGGGCCCTTCAAATTTGGATCCAATAGATCTTAACTGGGCCTAGGAATCTGTATTTGTCATGAGCATTTGGGGGGATTCCGATGCATGTAGGCCTCAGGCAACACTCAGAGGAACCCCCCTCGTCATCTGCTCCTCTCTCCCCGCCAGCAGGCTCCCTTTGTGGCAGGCCAGATGGACTACTGCATGGATAACACAGATGTCTTCGTGCCAGTCCTGGTTGGTTTCAATCCAGTGAGCATGGCCAGGTGAGCCTTCTGTAATGACAGGTGGTGACTGGCCAGCCCTGGGGGAGGCTGGGAGGGAGCATGTCAAAGTCTATAGTACAATTGCAAAGGAGAGGACAGATGAATATCAATTCCAAATCCCAAATATTCACCAAATCCCAGAATATTAAAGTAAGTATGGGGTGCCCCTAAGCTTATGAGGTTTTTGTTTGTTGGTATGTTTGTTTAATTATTCTCTCCTTGCTTCAGAAATGATTGAAGGTGGCTTACAAAGTATATATAAAATAAAAGATAGCATACATTCAAAACAGGGATTGAAGAGGCAAGGAAAACAAGGGCCAGAGAACAATAAGGGGTCAGAAATGTGGATGCCACAAAGATCTGTATTTTTATTTGGGGTGAGCCCCAAGCATCTTTTAAAATTGTAGTAGTGGGTGCCAAGTGGCCCCTACTCCTTTTTGCCTAGCTCCCTTATTTTAGTGTAGTTCTCTATCATCATTTCAGACACCCCTTTGTTCCCCTCTAACTACTCAAATCTCCCACCCTGTTTCCTTTTCTGAGAGCCTTGTGCTACCAAATCACCTCCCTCTTTTTCTCTATCGAAATGGCCACTTTAATCTCAGAGAAAGTCAACATGTTAAACCGATAGTACTCAATGTGGTTCTGTATGTGAGCTGCCTGGGATGCATTTAAAAATATAAGGAAAATGTATATTGATAAATTTTAAAAATATATAAGGAAAAGGGCTGGCTGGTTAGCTCAGAGTGCAGCCTTATAACACCAAGGTCACGGGTTAGGATCCCCATACCGGCCAGCCACCAGAAAAAGATAAGGAAGGAAGAAGATTCTTAGCCCCTTGTGATTTTGTAGGCTTGGGGAAAGGCCCTGAAATACCTATTTTTTGAAAGTATCCCTGGAAATTCCAGTGCACGCACACCAGGTTGGGGAACTCTGCTAAATATACCATTGGAGTGGGTCACCTGATGAAGCTAAGGGCTTCCTGTCTCTGGAGGGATTCCAGGAAAGCCTTGTTGATTATTTTAGAGCAGCTTCGTGTTTTTAGTGGTGGTCTTGGGGAGGGGGAAGAGCTGGGTTCTTTCTGTGGTACTTTTTCACCTCTCAGATTTGAAAGTATCCCTGGAAATTCCAGTGCACGCACACCAGGTTGGGGAACTCTGCTAAATATACCATTGGAGTGGGTCACCTGATGAAGCTAAGGGCTTCCTGTCTCTGGAGGGATTCCAGGAAAGCCTTGTTGATTATTTTAGAGCAGCTTCGTGTTTTTAGTGGTGGTCTTGGGGAGGGGGAAGAGCTGGGTTCTTTCTGTGGTACTTTTTCACCTCTCAGATTCTAGGCTTGCAGTATAATTGTTACCAGGGTGTAAATGAGTCTCAGATACTCCTAATCCTGATCCTTTTCATGGAGGACTCTCCACCAAAACGTATCTGCTGCAATGGATGCTAACTACCTTCAGGCCCTCTGACTAAGTGAGATGAAGAATTTTAAATAATGTAGGCATGGAGAACTTCCAGTTGTTCTTTAAGTCAGTGGCTCCCAAACTTGGCTGATCTTCAGAGTTGTCTGGGAAGCTTTTAAAAAATACAGATTTTTTGTTTCTACTTTAGAACTGCTAAATCTGGGTCTCAGGGTGGACATGATACCCAGAAATAGGTAGTATAAAAAAATGAAACTCCCTAGGTGATTTTGATGTCCAGCCAAGTTTGGGAATTTCAATTTTAAACCACACAATATGGACACTGTTTCCTTTCTTTGCCCAAGTCTCCTCTTTCTGAGGTCTCTAGGAAGTTCCAGAAATAGTTTGAGGACAGATGACAGGACACACTTTACACAATGGTTATGAAATATGTGAGACTTGTCTGCCCTAGAACTAATACAGAAGAAAACTGTAAAAATAGTTCAAGAAGAGTTAGAACGTTTGCAGTGATGGGATGATAAGGGGACTTTCATAAAGCCACCTACAGAGGTAGCTCTTTGAGGCCCTGCCGCAATGGGTGATTCACAAATTATCCCCTAACAAGCCATTAGAGATCAATTACAGAAGATTCTCATTTTTGAGATTCCATGATTTTTAACTAAGCAGATAACAAGCCTGAAGCTCTTTTTTTCTTATTAACACTTTGGTTTGTTCCTGATTAATTCGTTCAAGGAATGTTCACCAACTGTTAGGTGCTACACTTCATACCTTGCAGCTTGGTTCCCTTGTAAAGACTGTTATCCCATCCTCAGGTAGTGAGGATTCACTCTTTGAAGGGATTTCTGGAATATATTTCCAGGAAAGGGAAGGGCTTCTGGTGGTCCCTGAGATGGAGACAATGTGGCAATTTTGATGTTTGGATGACAGGCATTCCCCCAGGGGCCTACAGAGGACGAAGTTGGTGTGGCCATGGCAATGGGGCTTATGCAAGGACCAGGATACAAGAAGGTTCTTGTCTCAGGCTGGAACTTTAAACTTGAGTGTTGGCTTTGCTCTGGGCTTAAGTTACTGAATGTTTTATTAGCCCCCATCCTTGGGGCTCAGGGACACAGGGTCTCTGTGAGCTCCAAAGCATCTCTATGAAGGTGTTGACCTCTGACCCCCAATCCCAATGTGGTCTTTGATCCTGTCTCCCAGCTAAGGCACTTCCTTTAGATCCTCATAGACGATCTCCTCACATCTGTGTCTCTCTCCATCCCAGAAATGACCCGATTGAAGACTGGAGTTCAACATTCCAACAAGTAGCAGAGCGGATGCATGAAATGCAAGAGAAACAGAAAGCTTTTGTGCTCAGTCCTGCAGTCGGGGTAGGGCCTCTCTCTCCTTTTTTCTATCTTCTCCACCTCCACCCCGTCTGGGAATTGCTTGCCGCTTCCTTAGGGCCTCTGATTTTAGGTTCGGTTACATCTTGCCTAAATTCTTGAGGCCTAGTGTGTCAACTAAAATGTTATATAAATCAAATCCTATTTTCTCATTTATTTTTTCACCTTAAGATGTTTTCTCTTCATTTCAACCCTGTCTCTCAAATCAGTGATCATCAAACACTTCAGTGATCTAGGGCAGTTTCTGTTTAGAGGAGCTCTATTCCATTTATGTATAGACAGCATTGAACAGCCACTATTATGTCTCATTCTGTCTCTCTTAATGTATTTAAATTTCGAATGTGGGCTTTAAAAAAAATGGGGTGCAGTTTCATTCTCCTGCCTTTTTAAATCCTCTCCAAAACTGGGTGGGCCTTCTTAGCCTCCAGTGCTCCTGTTCCTTTTTTCTTCTCTGGGTGTGGACACATCTCACTAGTGCCATGTACCCTTACTTTGGCCTTACAAGGGCCTTAGCCAAATCCCTGCCTCTGCCTCCCTCTGCCCATGATGGGCACATCTGTGACATTCTCCTCAATCTTCCTTCTGTGAGATAAGAAGGCAAAATTTCATTTTATACGAGAGTTCGATCGCTTTCATCTCCCAGATGCTCGTCTCTCTTTCCTCCTCTCTGCCATTGATGACTTTAAATCTTTTCTCAGCCACTGCTCTGATCATTCTTTTTGCTGTAATCTGTCTGATGGTGTGCTGATCCATTGCAATGGCTGCTTCATTTGTCTGTCCAAAGCATATGAAATGTGATGTGTGGATTGACATTTTTGGTGGTAGTGGGAGGTAGGGAGAAAGTTCTGCCAAAGAAAAGCATTCTCTGAAAAATCCTTACCCAGCTGACAAGAAACCCATCATTGTGTCTTCCTCCCTAGAGTCCTGAATGTACTGTAAGAATGACTAGAGGTGGCCCTTTCTCTCTCTCTTCTCCTCTTCTCAGTTAAGCCTACACCAGCACTCCTCCTCACAACACACTGGGGGCCACCAATACTATCAAATGCATGCCCAGGGGTCACTAACCGGGGGTCATGCACAGGGATCACTAACTGGTGGACTCCTGGATGTCATTGCCTCCTTAGCCTGAGGGTCTCAGTGGCTCCTCCCAGATGAAAGGTGGAAGTGCCACCAAGGTCCTGCTGGAAACCCTGTTATTAGCAGCCAATAAGACTATGGACCGGGGCATTGCAGCATCTCAAAGTTTGGGAGGGTCTGGAAGAAAGAGTGATCAAAGTCAAGCAGAGGGCAGAGTGGTGTGGATGGGCGATGGCAGGTCCAGATCCAGAGACTGGCCTGGTGGCAGGCAGACCATGGCCCCACCACCTCCCCCCAGAAAAAGAGCTGGCAAATGAATGCTGCTGTTCCTGTCACATGGTTGCAGAGTCTGGATTGTTTCCAGTGGATCCTGGATTCCTCAGGTCCAGACCTAATCTGTGAGCCTGCCTGGGGCCTTCACAGCTAGACCAGGGTCCTTGGATGTGGTCCAGGTCATGCAAGGTAGAGCCCATTCTGCTATGGGCCTCCTGCCCTCAGCAGGGTCTCTGGCCCCAGCTTCCAGTTACCTCTTCAGCAACTCTTAGATCCTGTCTCCCTCCCTGTGCTCTTTTGATGCCCTTATCCCGCTTCCTGCTCTTTCCTTTTCTGCCTACTGAAGCCCCTGCTGCCCCTCCTGAACACAGTCTAGCTCCACTCTGTGCACCTCCATCAGGGACCAGTGGAACTTGGTTTAAGGAAATTGTGCCTTTCCCTTGGGGGGGGGGTGCTACCCAGGCTTTCTGAGGAGGCACTGGGCTCTCCCTGGGAGCTGGTGGCATTTTCCCCAGATGCCTCCTGGAAATCTTGCGGATGTTTGAGCGGGCTCGTCAGATGACCTACAGCCAAAGCTCCAAGATTGCCACCCTGATGAAGCAAGTTAGCAGCAGGTGTGGTGATTTGTATTTGAAGGGTTATGTGGCCTGGATGGGGAAGGAGACCATGAAGTGAAGGTTGTGGGTCTGCGTGCTGGATGGTCAGAGCAGGGTTATTGTTTCTTCACCCCTGTGCTCTTCCATGTGTGCCTCCGACCTCTTTTCACTGTGTTCTCTCCCCTCATGTCCTCACATCGGACCCATTGTCAGCCTGGAGAAGAAAGGCCGAGTGCACTTGGTTGGCTGGCAGACGCTGGGCATCATCGCCATCATGGATGGAGTGGAGTGCATCCACACCTTTGGTGCTGGTGGGACCCCAGTCCAGACATTTTTCCTGATTCCTCTTCATCCCAATCCATTGGTCCACTATCCAAACACTTTCCTACTCCCAATCCGTGGAGGTTCTGCAGTGTCTATCCTGCCCTATCTAAATAGGCATTTCAGTTACATGCTCCTTCCTTTGAACACCAACTCAGTGCTTGATCCCTCAACCCCCACCTCCCACTGCCGTGCTTAGCTACGGCCTCCCACTCGGGTTACTCCTCACCCCACGCCCACCTGCTGCTTTCCTCCCAGCCCCACTGACACCCCCTGAAGCCCAGAACCTTTCTTTCCTAAAAAATCCATCACTCCCTTCTCACTGTCCCTAAACTTCCCAGATTTCCAAGATATCCGTGGCTTTCTCATTGCTGATCACAGTGACATGTTTAACCAGAAGGATGAGCTCACCAATCAGGTCAGAGGAGGACAGGACTTGGGGAGTTTGTGATGATCACTGTTGTGCAGAGGGTAGAAGGAAAGGGGAAGGGGGAGACAAGTGGGGGGAGAACAATGGGATAGATAGAGAAGGGAATGTGGGCTGAAGGTTGCAAAGCTTTGGGGTAGCACGGGGAGTTTGGAAAGCTCTGGATTTACCCCCGAAACCTGGCTCTAGTCCACTGACTTGCTACATCATCTTGGGCATAACATTTACCTCTTTGAACCTTAGTTTTTCATCTGTAGACAAAATGGCTGTATTAGATGTCCTCTAAGGTCCTCATCAGTCTTCAAGTCTGTGCTCTAGAGTGTGTTCATGGGAAGGAGTGCCCCATCTTCCTCTGCCCCAGGGTCCCAAGTTCTCCTTCTCCCAGGAGGACTTCCTGACTTCCATCCTGCCATCCCTCATGGAAACTGACACTGTGGTCTTCATTTTCACCCTGGATGGTGAGAGGGGAGATGGGTGCTGTCGGTCCCAAGTTCTCCTTCTCCCAGGAGGACTTCCTGACTTCCATCCTGCCATCCCTCGTGGAAACTGACACTGTGGTCTTCATTTTCACCCTGGATGGTGAGAGGGGAGATGGGTGCTGTGGGTGAAGGGATGGAGGCAGGAGAGTGACTCAGAGGAGTTGTCATTTTTCTGGGTCTTGGGGAACCTTCCCAGAGGGAGGGACAGGGCTGAGTATCCTGACCGGACCCTGGAGGAGTGGAAGAACCGCTGCACAGCCAACTCTTCAACTGTGATGCCTTCTGCCTTTCCTAGACAACCTCACAGAGGTGTAGACACTGGTGGAGCAGGTGAGAGAGAAGACCAGCAACATCCAGGCCCTGGTGCACAGCACTGTGGGGCAGTCCTTGCCGGTGAGGGTCCAGCCATGAGGAGGGAACCCTGGGAGGCAGCTCCAGCCAGGCCTTCCTGCAGAGACCTCCCCTGCTCCTCTCTCTCTCTCCTCAGACTGCTCTGAAGAAGCTCTTGCCTTCCATCATCAGCATCACATGGCCACTGCTTTTCTTTGAATATGAAGGGAACTTCATCCAGGTATGGGGAATAAGAAGGTAATATCTGTGGTGAGGGGCTCAGAGGGGGAGATATTCTAGAAACTGGAAAACCCAAGCCTGGAGGGTAGAAAGCTTGAAGGGTTGTCGGACCTCCACAAAGCCAGCTGAGCAAGTTCTTGGGTTTCCAGGTCACTAGTCAGAGTTTCCAAGGCAATGGGCTACTGGGTTCAGCTCTCTCTAGGAATATGCAAAAAGTGCAGGATAGATCACCAGTCACCCAACAGATGTTCATTTGCCCTTTGGGACAGGTTAATTGTCAATACTATAGTCATATCATTATCCAAAAGCCTTTAAGCCACTTCTTTTTTTTTTTTTTTTTTTTTTTGCAAGTTATACTGTGCGGAATTTGCTGCAAATAATATTACACTGATATAGTCCCTGTTTGCTAATGAAATTACAATCCAGTACAAGCACTGATAATAATTATAAAAATAACAGTTTGTGTGCACTTCACAGTTTAGAGTTTGGAGTGGACATCAGGAAATTTGGGCTCCAGTCCAGTGCTGCTGTGCGGCCCAAGAAAGAAAGGAATTTTATATCTCTGGCCCTCAGTTTTCTCACATACCACCTGCCCACCCTCCGTAGGGTGGGATCAGAGCCCTGAAGGGTTGCCCTGGTGAGATGTGGTCTCTCATCCTTTATTCAACCCACCTCCTTCAGGAAGCTTCCTGAGCTAACCAGACACAGCTGGTATGCTGCCTTACCTAGACTCAGAACTCTTCTGGAACGTTCTCTCCCCCTGAGCAGGGGATCCAGTCTCCTACCAAGGCATATCTTTGTCTTCCCTTCCAAGCAGTGTCCATTTATTACATTCCTGCTTCTTGGCATGCTTTCCACATTCATTGTCTCCTTTAAGATCTCCCATCTTCTAGGAAGTCTTCTCTAATTAACCTCACATCATCTTGACCCCTCCTTTATGTTATATGAGAGTAGTTCAAAAAGTTTGTGGAAAAATAGAATTAAAAGACAATGCAAATCTTTCCATGTACTTTTTGAAGTACCCTTACATACCTCTCTACACTTATAGGTTCTATTATACAATGGTAATACCTAATATGCATAATACCTAATACCCTTTGCCCTTTAAAAAGTATCTCACATGTATTATCTAAGTTCTCATGACAATCTTCTGAGGAATGTATGTTTGAAACTAAGAGATTAAGGGATGTGATCTTGGTTAAGACAGGAGTCAAGATGTGAACCCAGATTTTGTGTGTCTAAGTCCATGGTTTATTTTGCCACACAAAATGAATTTCAACCACATCTAAGAGTTAAGCTGGATTCTTTTGTTTATTCAACAAATATTTTTTAAGCACCTATCACATGCCAGGTGCTGTTCCAGAGATAGGGGATATAATAGGAAATGATAATCTGTGATCTTTTGTTGCTTTGTGTTGCTTTGCCCCCCACGGATTTGTCACCCTACTTACCCTGGGTGACGAAGATGCAAAGGATTACTCAAAGCCCATCTCTTCTGAGCAGTGAGGAGCCCCGAAGTGGTTAACTTCCCTAGAACGCTCCCTCCAGTGAGAGGCAACCCTTCCTCAGGAAATTAACCCTGAACTGGGGTTCTCTTCCTGCATTTATTTTCCAGACCAGGAAGTTACAGGAAGAGAACATAGGTGGGGTTATAGTTTAACAATATACGCTGGTAACTTTCAGTGAAACAAGCCAGATGACATTCCAGTAAGGCAATTAAGTGGTCCTATCAACAACGGCTTGATCTTAGCAAACAGTCCTTCTTACAGCAATTTCTCAGTATCTTTACATAACAATCAGTAACTGGTCTGTCCTTGAGCCAGCAACCTGCTGTGCCACAAATCTTTATCTTACACTAGAGACTTTATAGCCTGAGGAAAATTTCCAGTCCTCCACAAGGTCAATATTTGAATCTGCAAGGCTTTGTAAAACCAGGCCCTGTGAAGTACATAAGCTTTATAGTATATTCCACAATCTTTTAAACAACTGTATTTTTAAACAAAAATATTATTTTAATAGCAATACATTTTCACTGTAAAAACTTTAGAAAACACAGAAATACAAAAGAAGAAAAAAATCATCCATAATCCACTGATTTCCAAAAAAACGCTCTTAGAAATTTTGGAGAATACCCTTCTAGACTTCTTTTCTATGCATATGTAAATATATATGTGCAAAAATAAGACCATATTGACATGCTGTTTTTACGCTGCTTTTCTTCATTTAAAATTATGAACTCCTTTCTGTACTAATACATCTATGCCATCATTTTTTTTTTCTTTTTGTCTTTTTTACTGACCAGTAATGGGATCGCAACCCTCGGTGGTGCGCCCGTACTGGAGACCGGCAACGGGATCGCAACCCTCAGTGTTTGCGCCCGCACCGCACTCAGCCAGTGAGCGGGAACCAGTCTCAACATGGGATCCGAACCCTCGGCGGGAGCGCCGCCGCACTCCCAAGCGGTATGCCATCATTTTTAATGTCAATGTAATATTCCACTGTTTGGATGTACCATAATTTGTTTACTCTAACCTTAATTGTCAGATGTGGAGATAGTTTCAATATGATGATTTTTATTAAAATGCTGCACCAGACATCCTTATACACACACCTTTTGTTCATTTGACTATTTCACTATGAAAATTTCCCCCAAAAGTGGAATCACTGGGTCAAAAAAAAAATTGAAGGCGTTTTGACACATATGGTCAAATTGACTTCTTTTGTTTGTTTACGGACAAAGTGTAAAATTGCTTGTTCCCTCACACCCTCATAAACACTGGGTAGTATCTGTCTTTTTAATCTTTGCTAATGAGCAAAGCAACCAAACAAAACAAAGGCATTTTAGTGTTGTTTTATATATTTTTAATTCCTGTGGAGGTTGACTGCTTAAAGATATGTATTTGGCCAGCTTGATTTTTTTTCTTTCATGTACTGCTTGCTTCTTCATGTATTTTGGGTGTATTCACCATTCTTTTTTTTTTTTTTTCTGTCACTTTTTTTTTTTAAAGATGACCGGTAAGGGGATCTCAACCCTTGACCTGGTGTTGTCAGCGACATACTCACCCAGTAAGTGAACCGGCCATCCCTATATGGGATCCGAACCCGGTCCCTTGGTGTTATCAGCACTGCACTCTCCCGAGTGAGCCACGGGCCGGCCCTGTATTCACCATTCTTTTGGAGGGATATTTATTTACTTTTCTTACTGATTAGTAAGAGGGGGTGTGTATGGCAAAGACAGAAGCCCTTTTTTCGTGTTCTATATTTTTCCTCAGTTTGTTATTCTCTTTTATTTCTAAGTTTTGTTTTGCGGGGGGGTTGTTTGTTTTATGGCAGCTGGCTGGTATGGGGATCTGAACCCTTGATCTTGGTGCTGTTACACTGCACTCTAATGAACAGAGCTAACCAACCAGCCCTATTTCTATGTTCTTGATGTAGAGATATTTTATCTACATTTTTATGTAGTCAAATCTATCAATCTTCTCCTCTGTGGTTTTTGTCTTTTGCTTGGTGCTGGTTTTATCTTTCTAAATGGATTGGAATTGTTTGAAATAAGGCTTCCTTTAGGGCTGGTAAATCTGTAGTTGTGGAAATATTTTTGATGTAAACTGCCCCCACACTTATATTTTGAAAAATTTCATTCCTACAGAAAGATTGCAGTAATAGTACAATGAACACTCATGTGCTTCGCCAGAGATTCACTGGTTAACATTTGCCATGTTTGCTTCCTATCCCTCTTTTCCCCTGAATCATTTGAAAGATAATTGGAGATATCATGACACTTCACACTAATTACTTTGGCATGTATCCCCTAAGAACAAAGGCATTCACCTACATAATTACAATATAATTATCCACTCAGGAAAATGACATTTAATACAATACTAGTGCATAATATCCAGACCACATCCAAATTTCCCCAGTTACCCCTGTATTATTTTTATTTTCCAGATCCAAGATCCAGTCAAGGATTTAGTTTCAGGTCTCTTTGGTTTCCTTTAATCTAGACGAGTTCCTCAGCCTATTTTTTTTTTTTTTTGTCTTCCATGACATTGACATTTTAGAAGTCTAGGACCATTGTATTCCAGAACGTGCCTCACTTTGGATTTGCCCTATTGTTTCTTTATTATATTCAGGTTAAAACTTTTGCCAGGGACCAGCCCATGGCTCATTCGGGAGAGTGCGATGTTGATAACTCCAAGGCCACGGGTTTGGATCCCATATAGGGATGGCCGGTTAGCTCACTGGGTGAGTGTGGTGCTGACAACACCAAGTCAAGGGTTAAGATCCCCCTACCAGTCATCTTTAAAAAAGACAAAAAAACCCCAACTTTTGCCAGGAGTACGGCTAGGGGAGGCTGTGCCCTTATCAGTGTGTCATATCAGGAGGCCCCTGATACCAGTTTGCCCCTTTATTGGTGATGCTATGTTTGATCATTTGTTTAAGGTGGTTCTGTTAGATTTCTCTGTATCCTGTTTCTTAGCAATCTTTCATCCAATGGTTTTAGCGTCCACTGATGATTCTTGGTTTAATCGATTATTATATGGTGGTTTTAAAATGATAGTTTTCTATTTCTGTTCTTTCTTTCCGTATTTATTAGTTGACATTCTTCTGTAAAGGAAATTTTCTCTTCTCTCCCCACCCCATCCATGTTTGTTTATTTATTTATTTATTTATTTATTTATTTATTTTGGTCTTTTGTCTTTTTCCGTGTCCGGCAACGGATTGCAACCCTCAGTGTTGCCCCCGTACCGGACCGGGGACCGGCAACGGGATCGCAACCCTCGGTGTTGCTCCCGCGCCTCGCTCAGCCAGTGAGCGGGAACCGGTCTGTATGTGGGATCCGAACCCTTGGGCGGGAGCGCCGCCGCGCTTCCCAAGCGGCACACTATCCAGTGCGCCACCGGGCCGGCCCATGTTTGTTTATTTTTAATATCAGTATGGACTCACGTTGTTGTTAAACGTGTTTTAATCTATTCCTGTCATTTTTCATTACTCATTTTAACGTTCAAAATGAGAGCTCATTCAAGCTGGCTCCTGTGCTCTTGTGACACATTCACATCCATATTTGAACCTTCTTTGCTGTGTTTCTTTTTGCAAAAAGAAAAAGAAAAAATCCCTTTTTCTTATGCAAAGGGTAGTACACCCTTTTTGCTTAACAAGATATTCAGGAAATCCCTCACCTTGCAGTTTACAGATCTTTTCCTCATTATTATTTATATTTGTGTGTGTGAGCACATACAATAGTTTACCCAGTCAGTCTCCTATGCAGGAATACAAAAACGTCATCTCAGGCTTACCTGTACTTTCCCTGGTCCAGTCCTGTAATCAGTCATTTCTCCAAGGAGCCCTGATTCTTGTTAATGGGTTCTGGTTTTCGAAAACCTAGGTGCTAAGTGTGTTCAGTGCTTTAGTGTGTCTTTGCCTCTAAGCCCTATCAGTAGAAAGGACAAGGATATGTGTGTGTGTGTATATGTATGTGTATTGTGTGTGTGTATGTATATATATTTATATTCGCACACATATAAACATATATGCATGTTTATGTATGTATATTCTCACTTTCCTATCCCCTTTCCCTTAGGAAGAATGTTGATTTCCAACATTATCGATATATTTACTAAATTCTACAATACGTACTAAACAGTTTTGAAATTGCTACCCTAATAGCACTATCATTAACAAAGTTATTAAAAAATGTTCAAAGTTTCTTTGCCGTTCTTTTTGTCCTTTGATTGTATCCCACTGAAAGAGAGTAAAGTGTTCAAAAGCCACTTGGATTGATTCTTTTCTTTTCCCTCTGTGGTTATGTTATCAATATGATAAACATGTTCAGCTGTCTTTATTTGTTCTCAATTTTAGAGTTTTTTCAGTTTTTGATTTATCTTTGAATATAGAGAACATAACATGGTTTAAAGATCAAAACTATAAAAACTATAAACAGGGGATGTCCCATTCCCTTCCCTATTCCTTCCATCCCATTTCCACTCATGCCTGTAGGTAACCAATTTTGTTAGTTACAGATTTATCCTCCTGCATTGCTTTTTGCCAAAAAAAGTGTACGTGTGAGTATATATACTTTGCACTTTCTCATACAAGAGGCAGCTTACTATATACTCTTTTGTGCTTTAACAAGGTATCCTAAAAATCATTTTGGTTTATAGGGCTCTTCTTCCTTAGTTTTTACCTTTGTAAGTGATCCCATGTATACAATAGTTTACTCAGGCAATCTCCTATGTCAGGCATTCAGGTTGTTTCTAATATTTCGCTATTACCAATAATGATGCAGCAAATGTGTGTGTGTGTGTGTGTGTGTGTGTGTGTGTGTGTTCGTAATGTTAGAAGTGAATCTTTGGGGTAAATTTCTAGAAGTAATAGACCTGGGTCAAAGGGAAAACACATTGTAATTTTGTTAGATATTGCAAAATTTCCCTTCATAGGGATTTAGCATTTGGCTTCACACACCAGCAGTATACGAGAAGGCTGCTTCCATTCTCAGTATAGCCTCTCTGAGAGGATTGTGAAGCTTTAGGATTTTGCCAATCTGATAGATGAGAAATGCTGTTTCTGTGTAGTTTTCATTTGTATTTCTCTTACTATGTGTGAAGGTGAGCATCTTTCACACGCTTAAAGGTTTTTAGTAAAATTTAAAAATTTTTTTCAGTTGTGTGTTCAGGTGCTTTACTCCTTTTTTCTAACATGTTTTTTGGTCTTTTTGATCCCTCGATTCTGAGTTCTTTGTAAATTAAAGTCATTAGCCTTTTATCTCTGATATATACTGTAAATATTTTCTCTGGGTTTTAACCATGCCAAAGTCTTTGTTTTAATTTCCTGAAGTTGAACTTATCCATCTTTCTTTTATTGAATTTGGTTCTTGAGGCACAGAAATCTTTTCCCAAAACTCAGGTTGTAAAGGAATTCCAACCATGTTTTCTTTTTGTAAAAATGCTTTCTTTCTTTTTCTCTCTCTTTTTTTTTACATTTAGATCTTTAATTCATTAGGAGTTTGTTCTCATGAGTTAAGACATGAATCCCATTTTATATTTTCCAAGTTATTATCCTATTGTCCCAATATAATCTTTTTAAGCCCATCTCTTCCTGAGTTATTTGAGATGCTACCTGTGTCACATACTCAGTTCCCCTGTGCATCGGCCTATTTCTGGACTTTCTATTCTGTTCCACTGGTCTGTCTATTGATGTGCTACTAACATATGTTTCACTGTAGAGTCCTTATGGTATGTTTAATATCCAATAGGTTTCATCCTCCCTTCATTGCTCTTTTTTTAAAGGATTTTCCTGGCTATAATTGCTGGCTTATTTTTCCATATGAACTTTAAAATGAATGTGTCTAGCTCCAAGTTATGTAAAATTAAAAAACTTTTTTTTGCGTTAATGATAGTTAATGGTAAATGTTTAATGGTATATATAGTTAACGATATAACCTAGATTTAATCGACCTCTCTCCCACAGGGCAGTCTGACATGCATCGGTACTATACTAGCCAGCTTCGTCCTGATTGGTCAGATTAACTGTTGTTGTACCCAGTATCCTTGTCATTCACTTGTTAAATGTTTTCAGTATATCCTCTTCTGGGGGATTGTGTGACCAGCTATTTCTAGACTTCCAGAATAAGGAAGTAAAAGTAGCAGTAGCTTGTTTTCCTCAGCATGGCTAGGACCAATTAATTAATGCCCTCAACACCTTTACTGGACCCCTGTTGCCCTGAAAGTGCAGCAATAGATATTATAAGTGCCACAAAGTGAGCAAGATATGAGGGCCAAGGACAGGGGGCAGTTGTACTCACAGTACCATGTGTTTGTACAACATTTTAGTTTTCAACACGCTTTCACGTACATTTGCTCATTTATCCAGGAGATGATTGTGGCAAAGTAGGAAAGGCCATCATTGAGGATTTAGGTCCTGATTCTGCATCTCACTATCATATGAGCTTATCCAAGCTGATTTACTTCTGACCTTTAGTTTTCTCATAAGTAGAAATGGGGATAGAAAAACCTATTTTGTAGGGTTGTTGTAAGGATTAAATGGAATTTGTTTTTTAAGAAACACGTGTAGATCAGTAACCATGTGTGAGCCATTGTCAAAAGGACTGGGTCTCTGGAGCAGAGTAAGATACCATCTTTGCCCTCAAGGAGCCTGTGGTTTAGTGGAATGAATCCCAGGCCTTCTACTCCTCCCCTATCTGGTACCCAGGGAGTAAAAGAAGTTTTGGCATGAGCAAAACCCTACTATGGAAGAACTCAGAGAAGATATCTGTCTACCCAGGGGTCAAAAACATAAATGGGTGAAACCACCAGGTGTACTCGAGACAGTCCTGGTTTAAACCTACCGTCCTAACATTTAAATGCTGGGCTTGTCAAACAAATTATGTCTGCATTTTGGCCCTTAATTGTTGGTTTTCTGTCTGATAACAGGACGCTGTCCACCCTGTTGCTTTCCTGTCCTCTAGTTTTTGATACTCCTCTGTGTCTGCCCTTTTTAGAAGTTCCAGCATGAGCTAAGCAACAAGTGGGTGCTGAGTACAGTGAGTACAGGGGCCCACGTGCTTCTCAGCAAGATCCTACAAAACCACATGTTGGACCTCCGCATAGCCAACTCCAAGCTCTTCTGGTGGGCACTGGCCACACTGCAGGTAGGGACATGATGGGGTGGGGCAGGGTGGGGCCTGGGCTCGATGCCTAGGCTGCCATAGGAGGGCATTTTTGCAGAGGTATGGATGTGTGTAGGGGTAAGGGCTGACTGACTCTTCTTCTGCGCTCTACTTCTATCAGGCGCATCCTTGCCTCTGAGAATTGTATGTGCATGCATGGGTGTGTGTTAGTGAAACTATATTAGTCAAGATTCTTTCAATTACAAGGATGTGAGAGAAACCCAGTTTATACTGGTTTAAGCTAAACAAGGCAGATGACTGCTCATGTAACTGAACAGTTCTAGGGCAGGTGGACCCAGATACTCTAATGATGTGTTCTAGAACCTTCAGCCCTTAGCTCTGCTTTTCTCTGTATTGCTCTCATTCTCAGGCAGGTTTTCTCCATTAGGTGGCAAATTGGACACTAGTAGTGCCAGCCTGACGTCCTACCACCTCAGCAACCCTAATGAGAAGAGTGCTTATCTGTTCTTGTGATTCTGCAAATCCCTGGGGGAGGGCTCTCATCGGCTTGGCTTGGGTCACATGCACATGCCTGAACCACACTGTTCTCCTAGGGAAGGGCACTCTGCCCAGCCTGGTTCATAGCTTTCCCTTGAAGATGGTGGCAGAGGAAGGGGCAGGAAGTGAGCCCAAGTCAAACCATGTGGCCTGAGTGTCGGGGAGCAATATTTCCCCAGAGGAAAATCAAGGTGCTGGTTCTGGAGGAGGAGGAATGGATACTGAGCAGATAGCATGACAGATGGTCATGGTAGTGGAGTTACCAGATTTAGGAAGTAAAAATATAGGACACCCAGTTAAATTTGAACTACAGATAAATAAAGGATACTTTTTTAGTATAAGTGTGTCCCTTGCAATGTTTGGGACATATGAAGGTACTTCAAAAAGTTCATGGAAAAATGGAATTAAAACAAACTTATCCTGTACTTATATGATTTTTTTTCATTATTTATCTGAAATTCAAATTTAACTGGATGTCTTGTATTTTTATTTGCCAAATCTGACAACTTTACCAGAAAGGAATCAATTAATGAATATTTAGTGAGCACCCACCAGGTCCATAAAACAACTTATGGTTGTTATTGAAGTCCAGTAGAACTACAGAGACAGTGGGGTCAGTGTGCACTATCGCGCTACAGAAGGCTTCATGGAAGAAGTGACATTTGAGCTAGGCCTGGTGGTTATGGCTTGGATAGGTGAAGGGCAGAGGCATTTTTGTATGTAAGAGCATTAGCCAAAGCCTGGAAGGGGGACTAGGCATGATATGTTGGGGACACAGGTCTAACTAGAGTGCAAAGTCACTTTACAGAATAGTGAGGGATTATGAAGGAGCAGAAAGGGAAAAGATTGTGGAAAGTTAAAGCCAGACAAGAATTTGGACTTATCAGATGTAGCTATACCTCTGCTTCCAAAACGATGGCCACCAGTCACATGTGACTACTGAGCACTTGAAATGTGGCTAGTGTGACTGAGAAACTGAATTTTTAATTTTACTTGAAAACTGAAGCAATGTAATTTTTTTTCATTAAATGCAAGTTTATAGTGCTAGGACTACATTTTACTTTTTAACATTGCAAGTGTAGCACCCAGTTGAGGTGTGTAATTATAAAATACACACCGGATTTCAAAGACTTAATACAAAAATATTATAAAATATCTCAATAATAATTTTTGTCTTTTTTTTTTTTGTCTTTTTCCGTGTCCGGCAACGGATCGCAACCCTCAGTGTTGCCCCCGTACCGGCCCGGGGGCCCGC